ATTGCATTATTTCAATAGTTTAGATATGAAATAATTTACATTAATTCCAAAAGACATGATGCCTCTTATGGAAGTATCACTGATACCAGTCAGACTGTGTTAAATGGTCACAACTGAAAGAATTAAAGGAATTTTTTTTTTTCAGATATGCCCGGAGACCAATTGCCTCTTTGGTTTGTGCTTGGAAGTGTTTGAAAGCAGAGTAAACAAATAACCACAGGGCAGTTGTCACCAATCAAAGTTTGTAGGGAACTGCAGCAAAGAAATGGGACGTCAAGCCACATCAGTTCCTGAGTGCTCTCAATGCCTGAGTGCTCTCATTTTTAAGATCCTTTACAAGTTTTGCTGTTGCTGTTGCTTTTATTTCAAACCCCACTAACATCTTTTGTGACTGAATTTTTTCTGTCATTAAGTTCGTCTGGTGTGTCAGTAGTACAGAAGAAATTTGAAAGTCACTGGGCAATTCACAAAAATATGTGGCTAAAATTGGTTCCTTCTGTCATTTGCGGACACTGGCCAATAAACCTTCAAGAATTCCTGACCCTTACTGATGGAAACAAATGGATGACCTCTATTCTAATTTTCTCTGGCTGTGAGGTTACAAACAAAAATGAGATGTGCAAACTTCAGACCATTCAGGCCCATTGTTCCTGGGCTTGAGTCCACTTGGCACTGACTGTCGTGCAAAAACTCTCTGGAACAGGTCTGAATAGGTCTGTTTTGGAGACAGATGGGGCTGTCCGAAACAGAACCAAGAAGCGAGAATAATCACCACCTGAGCTTACTCTGACCCACTCTTATTCACTGCTACAGATACATTCACTGAGAACTGTATTTAGTCAAGAAATGAGAATTAAATGAATCTGACATAAATAATTGGACCATTTTGTCACCCATAATGGATATTACAGACTACTGTACAGTTGGAAACACACGCTGTGCACTTGTTCATGTGCTAATGATCTGCTCTGCATGGGTGGTGCTTACTGACATTGAGTGCTTGTACAATCTTTCACTTTTCATGTTGGGGGTGAGGACTCCTAGCTGCTGTTTTTGTTAGCAGGTATTGTTTGTATCCTACTCAAGAGCCCAGAGGAATGGAAGAGAACTCTGTTACGAGTTAATGGGTCTCTACTGCTAAATCGTTACTGCTAACTCAAAATGTCAATGTAAAGCAGAATTGAGATGCTAATTTCTCAAGCAACATGGATCCTCTGACAGCATTTTATTACAGTAATGGTATTTACAGTCCCTCCCCTGCCTGAGTAAAAAAATTGTGATTTAGAAAGTTACAGCAGTAAATATTATCTGATCAGCTACATCAAATGCTGTTTTCAATACAAACATTAAAAATGCAGTTTACAAGATCTCTAATATTAATGTCATAATGATTACAAATTCCTTTATATCAGACTCCAAATTATTCAACTGCTACAGCTTCTACGCAACAGTAGAAGACAGTACGATTTTGGCTAATACCTCTGATAAAACCTTTTGCTTGTTCCAGCAGGAGGTCAAGGACTGTAATCCTCTACAAGTATTCTGAGAAAACACAGGTGTGAGGAGACTAAAAAGGGTTCAAGTAGGAAGAACTGTGGCTGTATCTTACCTTATCTGGGCAAGTATCTAAGGTAAAGTAAGATGTACCTCTTTTTCTACCAACAAAATGCTGGGAAAAGTAATAAGGAAAGAACTGTCCAGGGAGTCGCTTAGGCTGGAAAGACCAACTGGAGTTTATCTGGTTCTAAGCCCTGCTTAGAGATACGTCAGCCTCGAAGTTTCATCAGTTGCTCAGAGCCCTGTCTGATCACGTTCTGAGCATCAGCAAAGAAGGAGGCTCCATAATCTAACTTGGCAACCAGTTCATGTTTGCTCAGAGACAAGTCCTGAATATTTTTTAATGTCCAGACCAACCCAGACTTATTTGTCATCAAGTCTCAAGAACAGTGAAAGCAACTGCAGACACACCTTCCCATTCCCACAACAAAAAGATTAGTTTCAAGTCTGCAGCAGTGATTGACTATAGGACAAATCTGACCTACGTTCAGAATTTAAGAGTGATTTTTTTTTATTTTTATTTTTTCCTCCAGGGAAAGGAAGCCTCTGAAGTTGGTGCACTTCTCACAGACACCATCTGGTACTTCCTAATCAATGAAAGACACTGACAGCTCCCAGTCACAGGCTCAGGACTTTCTTCACAGTAATAAGCAGAAACACATGCACCTGCTCTTTGCGTTAGCAGCTTCTTTTATGCATCCCAAATTCTTTAAAATCTGCTTTTCAGGAACATTTAACCTTCTCAGGGAGATAAGGGAAAACAACTATATGCTCTGAAAAATGAGCAGAATCTTTTGTTTTCTTCTTCAGTAGAGGTTTTCTTCTTTGTTTGTAGACAACTGATTTTAATCTGAGAAAGCTTTCCATAAAGAACAAGTCTCTCATGCTCCCATCATGGGTGCTGAGCCTACTGTAAAAACAGAAAAGATGCATTCAACTAATAATATCACATAAAGAGCATGTTTGTGTCATGCAGTAATTTCAGTTTTGAACAAATCCCTGGGAGCTTTGTGTCATTCGCTAAACATCCCAATCAAACAACAGTAGCTGAGTAGCACAATGCTACACTACACAGTTTTGAAAGGAGGGGAAAGAGCCTGCTGGGGATGTATTCACAAAGGTTAACATTAGCCCATACAGGGCAACATCTATACTTAGTAAAGAGAGAAAGTCTCCTCCAGAGGGCAATTCAGAAGTGAAGATTCATTTAGCTACTCTGAATGTCCCTCCAGAGGAATTCCACTTTCCATTAATTTCAGAAACAGCCTGCAGAGATTAGCCTCAAAAAGATCATACTGGCCTCTGTGTATACTACCACAAATCTACCTTCCATCAGCAGGAACAGGGGCTGAGATGTATAGTTAGCTACACCGTATTTAAATCTGAATGCTATGTATCACATATTAAATGAATTTCACTCAGGGTTCTGCCAGCATTGCTGAAATGCTGTCTCCACTGTGCTACTTGGGAAACCACAGGATTCAGTTTTTTCCACTGCCCTATTCAAGTGCTCCATTTGATGACTACCTGCATGCTAGCATACAAAGGACTGCTGTACTCTCACCATCTTCAGGATCCACTTAACATGCTGCAGCACAGTTCTTTCTCTCGCTCTAACTGCACACTGTACCACTGGAGCAGCAATGGGAAGCGGGTTTTCACCATCAACCTAGAGACAAAAATTCTCAAGTTTTGAGACCTGCTGCCTAAGATTTTAGTGGTTATTAGCAACAAGAGTGGAAAAGTCTTTCAATCTTAAATATGAAAAAAGGCTACATTTTGTGGTTTAATCGGGCACACAGCTAAAGACCACAGAGCCATGAGCTTACTCCCCTATCAGGGGCTAAGGTAAGGACAGTTTAATAAAAAAGGGGTGGGGGGAAAAGGAAAGAAAAACTACCTTAACAAAAAGAATGAACATATCAAGTGATGAACAACGCAATTGTTCACCACCAGCTGACTGATGCTCAGCCAGTCTCCAAAGAATGGCAGCCACCCTGGACAACTACTCCCCCAGCTTTATGGTTGAGCATGATGCCCTATGGTATGAAATATCCACTTTAGGTCAGCTGTCCTGGTTCCATCCCCTCCCAGCTTCTTGTGCACTCTTAGCCCCTTGCTGGCAGGGCAGTGTGAGAAGCTGAAACATTCTTGGCTCTGTGCAAGCGGTGCTCAGCAACAGCTAAAAACATCGCATGTTACCAATGTTATCCTCATCCTAAATCCAAAGAAAAAAGCATTACATGAGCCTCTATGAAGAAAATTAACACAGCAAAAATGAAGACTTGAGTATACAAGGAAAAGAACATAACTGACAGAAATAATGTGAAGACTATTTCCTAATTCTTTCAGTTTTTCTACATTACACTAGGTCACTGCACTTCCCTTCCTCAAAAATGTCCTTAAAATACTGTCAAACTTGAGAAAAAAAAAAAAAAAAAAGTCCACAATATCTTATAAACCAAAACAATCATTACAGCTCTTTTAAGGTCTCACCAAGACTTTCCACATCATCATTCTAGGATTTAGCCCTATCTTTTCAGGGTATCTGCAAAGTAAAACAGCCATTCTTTCACAATACAAGGGAAAAAAAAAAAAAAAAACCCACAAACAAACCCTTTGAATTGCCTTCATGCCTTCAGCAAAGGAGCAACAAAGTTTGACAAAGTAAGGGAAGTTAGGGATTTTTCTCAAAATCTTCTGAAGACTGCCTCAGCCCAGGAAATCTGCTTCTAAATTTACAATTTTTCCTGTACAACATATCCAACCTGACTTAGACATAACAATATGTACTTGCAAACATAACATCAACTTGCAAATGTCTGCTGAGACCATTTTACTACTAACACCAAATAGAAAAGCTACATTCAAATTTCAGAGACCATATTTACACAAAGGTGTCATGAACAGAGAAAGTATTACAAAGATAAGTCATTCTTCCAAATGGACAAATCATTTGCATATTACACAAACTATGCTGCAACACAGCACCTCAAACAAATACTTCACATTGTGCTATTAACACAGTAAAAGTGTAGTAAAAGCTTATTATAAGTAGTAAGCAATCATCTGAAATCACTTTTAACTAGCCTAAGGCACCTTAGTTTCAAAATGCCTTTGAAAAGGCCCTGATGACCTTCTGAAAACTATATTGCATCTTGAGACATGAAAGAAAGCTTCCTATTTTTTTTATTCTTTTACAGGTACTCCATCAACAGATCTGCAGAGAAAGTTAAAAGCCATTGACGTAGCCCTTTCTAATCATCTTGTAGCATTACATTAATAGAAGCTATACACAGTACCTTCAAGTCAGTGTTGGACAGAATTCTGCATATTAAGAATCTTCTGGCTTCAAATTAATCTCACAGTATCTTAATTACAAAGGTCAAAGGGTGGCATTTTTAATTACTGTCAAAATTGAACTGAGAAAATGAGAAAGGAACTTTTTTTTTTTTCATATTGTTTATTAAAACAAAGGAAAAAGTAGAATTTCACAATCCATCTTAGAGGTGGAAAATTTTAAGTCAAATATCACTTTCAGAACGTTTTTTTCTACATACTGAATTCATATCCACTCATTAGGGCATTCTTGTGCACTATTTGAAACCGAATCTGAACACCCTTCTGGAGAATTTTTGCACAGTGAAGTTATATTTGTGATGATGCTCATTAAACCAAGCACTGCTCTGCCCACTGTTTTATTTCCTGTAAACTCAGTAAGAAACACAAAATGCAACAGGGTAAGACTTGGCCAAACAGATTAAATCACAAAGTAGTACAACCAGTTCAAGAAAAGCAGCAATTACTCTAAATAAAATGCACGATTGATAATTTACCTCAGGCAACTGATAAAGAAAAAGCATATTACCTGAACACAAACATTTTGATGAACTATGATTCTCTTGTAATATGCAGAAACAAAACTTTTACAAAGAACCATTATTTATAGAAAAAGGAATGACATATTTGACCAGTACTTATACATTCCCAAATTTTGCCAGGCCTTCCATGGCATTTTGAGATTATGTCTCACAAATTCTCTGAAATTGCATTTGCTTTGAAACTTCATTTGATGTTTTGTGAAGTTAACATATAGGTACCTCTGCATTCTCTGCTATCGAAAATGTTTTCAACAATTAAATATTACAATTACTTTGGAACATTTGGCATTTACTTACTTATTTCAATTATAAATCACTTAACTTTTCAATTCTATTTGGGCTAAATACTCAAATTGTGGTAAAACTTCTTTCAACATGGAATTTTATCAAAAGAAAAAAGAAAGAATGAATAAAGCTAAACCTTCCAACACTCAGTAGAACAGTTTCTCTGGAACAAGATCATGAAGTTCCCCCTTCCACAAACTAAGTTTGACAATATGTAATATTTTAAATAATTACTTATTGTGGTTGAGTTTACTCTTGCATTTTCAGTAATAAACATCTTTAGAGACATCCATCTTTTATTCAATAGGATCACCCCATTGAAAAATATCAGTAAAGAAATAACCAGTGCATTATTTATTATGCTTTAACAAGAAAATGAGACTGTATCTGTGTGACAAAAAAAGACTGGATCTTGGCAAGTCATATAGGGTAGCTTCGAAAAGGCCAATTCTTTAGTCACAATGCAGAGTCCCAAAATAAAAAGAGACCTTAGCTACATGCCAATGTCACTTATTCCAGAAGATTTCAGTAGACATTAAGAGCTTCCAACTCGATCTCTGGGAATAATCCGTAGATCTGAACCGTGCTTTAGAAATACATTTCCTAAACAAACAAACAAGAGAACATTACCAAACAAAATAAGTTTCCTAAGCAAGCATACACATTTAAAGAACAATAATGCCCTTAGATCAGTGTTCAACATCTTTGTAACAATTTCTCTATACGCTACAAAACCATTTTTTGTACTTCCAAAGAATTTAATCTTATCCTTCCTACAGTGCCTCTCTAAAGAGCTCTTGCTTTTAAGTAATAATACCAGACTCAAAGTCATATAAGACTTGCAAGTTGCTTTTTTATGTTTTAAATTTCATATTGGTCCTTTGTGAAGCAGACTGTATGCAGTTCTACAATATCGAGTTTTAATCACATCTACGTGTTCCTATTCATCTCTGTGTTGACTTGTAAAAAGAGTGTAATTCCCTTTCCTTGTAAAGCACTCCATTTCATGGATGTAGAATGAGTGCACTACCAACAAAGATTAAGATACTTAACATTTGTTCATTAACAACATACTGGAAAACTTTCCTTTTTTTAAACTTAATGAATCTACCACATAGATCAGGATTTAAACTGTTCTACCTGTTCAATGTAATAACAGAAACTCCATTCTAAAGAATGGATTATCAAATGTTAAAAAATACTGAAGAAATACATTACAATCACAAAATCATAGGATTTCCTCAGTTGGAAGGGAAAGACAAGGATTGAATACAACTCCTGACTCCACAAAGGACCATCTAAATTTCAAACTCTCTTTCTGAGAGTGCCATTCAAATGCTCCTTAAAATCCAGCAGCTTGGGGCTGTGACTTCCCTCAGGAAGTGATTTTTATGTTGCAATCGTAGTCATAAAACTAAAATTTCACAGCTCATGCAGGCAGTAATTCAACCCATTTCTTAATCTGCTTCTATCATTAGTATCATAGTGGGTTTTATTAAAGTTACAGCATACCATTACCTAAACTTCTGAGGATTTCAAACTGAAATCAGTACAGAAATCAAATGTTAAGCCCAGCTTCTTCAGCTTTCATTTCCCTTGCCATGTGAAATCATGCAGGAAGAATTAAAGCCGCACTTGAGGAGTGCTTTTGTCAGGAAGTCAAAGAAAAAATAGAACAGGACAAAACCTCTAAAATCCCAAGGAACACTAAGATTTTATTCCCAAATCATCTTAACTGGAGAAGTTTTTAAACACTACTGGTTCAACCCATCAGAACTTAATAATATGTAAAAAGGAAAAAAATGTAAGGTTTGCCATATCAAGTTGCTTCTAAAGCATCAATAAGGCTGAATTAAGGCTATAACTGAGTTACTTAGGTTTACTTGTAAACTCAGAAGGGATTTTGTTTTGAATTCTTGATTTGGTGGCTCTTTTTCCAGTCCTTCTTTCAGTTGAAAGCAATGCCACACAACACTGTCATGGCAAATGGCATTTATCTTCTTTGTTAAAGAAATATATAAACCCCTGTGCCTAATCTTACATTTGTAGACAAAATCAAGATCATGAAATATTTTCAATCTAGATGTCTTTAATTTACCTGAACCTTGACTATGAAATGCTGTTATATTATTGCTGAGTAATTGCTCAACATTTATCAAAATTTAGGAGAGTTAATGCAAAGCAACTGGAGATCTGAAATTGATGTGAATAGCTGCAGGCTTGATGAACTGTCATGTGAACATTTTCATTTTCAGGAATAAAGTAGCCCTTAATCCATTTACTTTGCAGGATTAAGCTACATAATACAAAATGCAAGTATACCTCTGAGGAAGAACAGTGTAAATATATCTTATCTTCAACAACTGACTTTACTGTTTCACCTAAATGTTCTTAAGTGGCCGTATGAAAAACTGTCCTCACAGGCTGATGATGATCCAGTAGCTAAACTATATTGTTAGCTGTATCATCTATCTTCATTGTACTTGGTCATATGATGTGTCGGGACTGGTGCTATCTAACATCTTTGTAGGCAACGTGAACAGTGCGACTGAGTGCACTCTCAGCAAGTTTGCAGATGATGCCAAGCTGAGTGGTGGCAGCTGACATGCTAGAGGGAAGGGATGCCACACAGAAGGACCTGGACAGGCTTGAAAGGTGGGCCCCATGCCAACCTCATGAAGTTCCACAAGGCCAAGTGCAAGGTGCTGCACTCGTGTCGGGGCAATCCCAAGTGCAGATACAGGTTGGCTAGAGAATGGCTTGAGAGCAGCCCTGAGAAGAAGGATTTGGGGATGTTGACTGATGAAAGATTCAACATAAGCCAGCAACGTGTGCTTGCAGCCCAGAAGGCCAACTGTGTTCTAGGTCGCATCAAGAGAAATGTGATCAGCAGGTCGAGGGAGGTGATTCTGCTCCTCTACTCTGCTTCCATGAGACCCCACCTGGAGTTTTATGTATGGTTCTGGAGCCTCCAACACAAGAGGGACATGGAGCTGTTGGATTAGGTCCAGAGAGGGGACACAAAGATGATCAGAGGGCTGAAGTACTTTCCCCGTGAGGACAGGATGAGAGTGCTGAGGCCCTTCAGCCTGGAGAAGGCACCAGGGAGACTTGTAACAGCCTTCCAGTACCTGAAGGGGACCTACAGGAAAGCTGGGAAGGGACTTTTTATAAGGGCAGGTAGCAACAGGATAAGGGAACATGGTGTTAAACTGGAATGAGACAGATTTGGACTAGATATTAGGAGAAAATTCTTTACTGTGAGGGTAGTGAGAGGCTGGAACAGGTTGCCCAATGAGGCTGTGAATGCCTCCTCCCTGGAAACATTCAAGGTCAGGCTCAATGGGGCTTTAACTGACCTGGTCTAGAGAGAGATGCCCCTACCTGTAGCAGGGGGGTTGGAACTAAATGATCTTAGCAGTCCCTTCCAGCCCAAACCATTCTGTAATTCTATGGTTCTATGCCTCTATGTTCACGATGAGGACAGCAACAGCTGAGGCGTCTGCCAGAGGCAGCACACTGGCCAAAAAACAAGGATATCCTAAGGCAAGCGCAAGGTTGACAAAAACCTCATGTGGTGTAGAAAACCAAGTGCTCTCTTGATTTTCACTTACAAATGCTGTTGACAGAACTGCAGATATCAAAAGTGGATTGCTGTACTTCTGTGATTCCTTCTACAATTCCAAAAAAATAACGTCAAGCAATTGAGCTTCTAACTGTTGCTTACTGTGAGATGCTCTGCAAGATTTTTTACTTTATACTATTTATCTTAAGAGGGCTAGGTATGCTAATTATATGAATGAGAAAGCGGTATCTAGAAAGCCAAAAAAATGGAACACCCAAAAACCTAGAAGCAAACTGTGCTACTTTTGGCAACACGCAGCAGACAGAGGACGTAAATGAATAAGATCTGGCAAAAAGATCTGGCAAAAACCAGAGAAGCAGCAAGGAACTCTTCACTAACTGTTCATCATGTTTGCAAGCAGGAATAAAATTAGATTCACAGTTTGCACCAGGTGGAATCACCTGGAATTCCTTGAGGGGAACAAGAGGACTATCTGCAAGACCACCCTTTTTGAGAATGTACTTTACAAAGCACCTACAGTTCCTGCTCTAAAACAGAGTGTTACTCTTCTAAACAGATCTTATCAGAATGGCTTCTGAAATACCAAATACTACTGGAGTAGGCACAGTGGTGAAAAAAATACAGCTATCATCTGGTATTTTAGAAATTAGTAATTGCTCTTTTAGACTGCACTAAATAGCTAAGTCCTAAAGATCATCAGTACCTTACGCTTCCACAGTCCTACTGAACAACAGTTCTGTGGATTTAATCTTTCACTCAGAACACTGACTGTAGTTTCAACTACTGGACAACTGTTCTCCCATTTAAGAAATCAAAACTTGATGTATAACAACCAACCTGGAGTGCTATGTGTTAACTTAAAATAACTGAGTTGTTTTTTTTAGAACTACTGGGCTCCATAAATAATAACTTACCTGCTGTCTGTGCAGGGTTTATTCCTATTCCATCTAGGAAGAAATTAAAGCAGAAAAAGAGACAGACAGGACAGTGAAATGGACTTCACAGTTTATTACATTGAACTTACTGCCCAAAAATATAAAACATCAAACAATACATACTTATCACACCAGCCCTTCAAATAGCTATTTCCAATAATCAACATCAGTCACATCAAAGAAACTAACAAGAAATCTACAGCATAGGAAATCCAAACTATGTGTTAGGAGAAAACCACTCCAGTGAATAATAATGGCTTCATACCTTCATCCCATTCGTAAATAATCAGAAAAATGCTACTATATTATTAAATATTACTAAGTTCAGTTTGCACACTGTAGAGTCTGTGATAGAAAAGACGCTTCTGTGTCTACCAATATCCCTCAACTGAAACTACAGTATAAAAGCTACACACTTACCGTTTGTGATAATGGCACTTGTTGCTGCAGGAACTTTGAACTACAGGAAATGAGTACAACAAAACAATGCAAAAGACATAGTTAAAGTAGAAAACATGGATAATACTCAAAGCAATCATTATTTTAGCTTACTCAAGTAGAAAGAATCAAGAGAAAATATTCCCCTGAGATTTAGAGATACAGCAAAACTAAAATCTACACTTAAAGTTGATTAGACATCTCAATACAGAGTAAGAAATTTGCAGTACTAAAATAACTACATCCATTATTCACTGGATAAAATATAAAAGAAATATTAGTTCTAATTATACTAAACTTAAAAAAAAAAAAGAACCAAAAAAATAAACCACCTTAAAAAAGGGGTGGCCAGAAGGAAGAGGGAGGTGATTGACTCCCTCTACTCAGCTCTTGTGAGGCCCCATCTGGAGTACTGCATCCAGGCCTAGGGCCCCCAGTACAGGAAGGATGTGGAAGTTTTGGAGTGGATCCAGAGGAGGGCCACTAAGATGATCAGAGGGCTGGAGCACCTCTCCTATGAGGAAAGGTTGAGGGACCTGGGATTGTTTAGCTTGGAGAAGAGAAGGCTCCAGGGAGACATCACTGCAGCCTTCCAATGTTTACAAGGCTGGACAGTGACAGGACAAGGAGGAATGGTCTTAAATTAAGACAGGGGAGGTTTAGGTTAGATATTAGGAGGAAGTTTTTCACCCAGAGGGTGGTGACGCAATGGAACAGGTTGCCCAAGGAGGTTGTGGATGCCCCATCCCTTGAGGCATTCAAGGCCAGGCTGGATGTGGCTCTGGGCAGCCTGGTCTGGTGGTTGGTGACCCTGCACATAGCAGGGGGTTGAAACTGGATGAGCATTGTGGTCCTTTTCAACCAAGGCCATTCTATGATTCTGTGATTCTATGAAACACATGGAAATGAACTTCGACGAACACATTACGTCATGCCAAATACTGTGAACAAACAATACTTTTCTAAATAAAAAACAATTGACCAAGAATACATATGCTCAAATTTTCCAGAATAAAAATGGTCAACAATCTTAAACATAAAACACACGCACATATTTGTGGGCACACTAACTTCATACTGGTGTGGTCAACAGAAAGAAACACTTACAGGACCAGAACAAGAGCCAATATGAAAACATTATATAGTAGGAAAAAATAGAAGGTTGCATCTGAAATGCATGGAATTTGCACTGAGAGAATATTTTTACCATACAAGTCAACTCTGTGAGTAATGTACCATCAGGTACATTATCACTATTTGAACTTCCCATTGCTGTGACTGAAGATGGTATTTGAAACCCAAATCAACTTTAGTCAATCTTGGTTAATTTTGACCTATTTCCTAGCTTTCTTCTTGGCTCCATTTTGATCTCCAACTGCACTGCTGCAAGAAGAGTTCACTCGAGGATTTGCTTATAAAAGGAGGCACTAAGAGCACTGTATCTGATCCAGCTCTGTCAGAATTCTGACACCAGCCTAAGCAGGCTTTGTACCCTCAATCAGCACCATATGCCCCCACGATACCCGTCCCCACATCCATCCATCATATGTGGTCAATTCCACTATACAAAAATCCACACACAGATGGGGCTGCATCAGACATAGGCTGCATATTATTTCAGAATAACTGAACTTCCGGACAACACAAAAAATAATTATTTCTTAGGACTTATTTTCATGACTATAGGAAGTCACAAAGGACCCAAAGAAATATCCTGTACTGCATAATGTGGTTGGATCACACAGGACGGAAGGGGTAGGCAGTGTGGGTGCACATCAATGAGTGCCACTTGGATGGCTTGAGGACCACAGGTTGCTCCTTTGCCACATTTTACTTAGCTCTATGATCAATCCCTAAGACTGGTGTCCAGGTAATCAGCAACTATCACTTGCTCCTCAGAAAGCACTTCTCTTATGCAAGAAAAAGCACAACTATGAATGCTAATACTACATGCTTTTCTGGTAGAATTAGAGAGCTCTCATTTGCTGAGCAAGTCACTTCAGCTGAACCTTTCAGTGGCATTCATTAATTGTACTTTCCTCATTTTCTAATTGCTCAAATCAAAATTCTGAGGTTCAACTTGCAAGAACTCCACACATTAACAGCAACAGCTAGAACTCATGAATACCATGCTTAAATACAGCACTTAATTATTGGTATACCGAAAAATTGCCTTTCATCTCCAGACACACAAAAGTAGCATTTTTTTATTATTATTAATTTTAAACTTACAATCTCTTAGCTTTGTAACTATTGCAGGTCATTACCTACTCATCTTGCAATGTAACATTAAAAAAGTAACTTTTGCAAAAGACAAATCATATACCAGAGTCACTATGGAAAGGCCATGAGGAAAGTAATAATTTGTCTTCAAAGTCAGGTTTGAGAAATGAGTTCAAAAATTGGGAGCTACATATTTAACACTAACAATGTAAAAGTAATATGTCATCTCATAATAGCTAAGTATTACACATAGTTGCTCTCTCCCTCCTCCTCCTCAGCAGGAAAAAGGGGAGAAAATGAGATGGCAGAAAAAAAAAAACCAAACACTTGCAGGTTTGAGACAGGAGCAGCTTAATGAAAAGACTTCTGAGAAACAGAAGGAGAAAAAAGCTACCCTCCAATTCCCAACAGCAAGTAATGCTTAGTCACTTCTCAGGAAGCAGGGCCTTAGTACGTGTATATGCATGCGCAGTGGTTGCTTGCTTTCTTTATTAATTTTTTCCTTGTCTTTCTTCCTTCAAGTTTCATTGCTGAGTGTGACATCATACAGTACAAAATACTGGGCCATACTCAGCACGTTAAAATCATCACAATATAGAAAAGGAAACTTGTACAGGAAGTTGGTACACTATAATTCAGTATTGAATTTTAATATTTTGTTTGACTTAAAAACAAAACTCCTTCCTTTGTTTGATAAGCTTGTGTTCCCATGTTGAAAATATACAAGCTTTCCATAATACAAAGGCAAATTAATGCTCAAGTAGCAAAGAAATTCTCTGTTCATCAAATAAATCCCAGCTTTCCTTGAAACCCAAGTAGGATATCCTGCATCAAATACACACTTAACAAATCAACTTGTTTGCTTTAAAAACCTTACAAACTGATAACTTGCTGTGAAACAACTACTCAGCTCATACATCATCTTATGCCAGCTTAAACTTCTTGCAGATATTAGTGGTAAAGATGAAGCCAACACAGCCAACAAACTAAACTCACTAACTGATAAAGCAAAGAAACTTCAAAAGACGCAAGTTAATTACCCAGTCTGAAGAATTCAGCATGCAGCTCCATTACACCCTCAACTCTGCATGTATGAGCTGCAATGAATCTATGATAAAGAACAGAGTGAACAGGACAATTCCTTCTGGAAATGAACAGTGGAAACAACACATCAGACTTTGCTGGACTTATCAGTCTAGGCCTCTGTGTGTGGGTTTTGTAGGCACAGCTGCATTCATTCAGATTTTTAAAAAAGGAAGAAAAACAGTTTAAAAAAAAAAAGCCATTACAGTAAGCGTATTTTCAAGTATTTATTATTATGTCTATTATTGCGTTCAAGTAATGTCACACTAAATAATCAACCCCTTTTACTCCCACATCAGCTGTGTCTCTGATATGAACTTCTGTCACACTGTGGTATAAATATAATATTAGAAAAGTTAAGGATACACTTTCCATTATCATTCCTAATTATTTATTAGAATATCAATGCTTTAACAAATAGATCTTAAAGTAGTCTAAGACTCCCCCAGATTTTAGAAAAAATCAGAAGGGGGACTGCAGGAACAGAGACAGTGTCAGCTAAATCTGCTGACTAGACCACAAAAAGCCAATTGGCTTTGGAATGCTGTTTCAAATGAATGTATCTTAACCTTTTGTAGACCCAATCTGAAATAAATAGCATGCACCTCCTCTAATAACTCACACAGATAATTTAGGCACCTATTTCCGGATTTTGGATTCCATGTGAAAGACCAAACACACAAAAGCTAAGAACACAAGTGTCACTTGTGTCTGCTTTTGAATCTAGCCCATATGTGTACCATCAGTACCATCTACAATCAGAAATGAGATGTATTCCAAAATCAAAGACTACTGGAAACAAGCATGAGAAGTGTTACTAATTTCTTCAAAAAAGCTAAAGAGTATCCTGAATATTCTATATCAGTAATTGAAAATATTAAATAGGCAACAGAAGTAATTTGTAATCATGTTTATTACCATTTATTTTTATATTATTGGCATAAAAGTGCAATAGCGAAAAAAACGAGGTCTTATACTTGCTACTGATGCGCAAATTAGAATCCTAGAATCATAGAACCACTGACTCCTTAGAGTTAGAAGGGACCCCTGAAGGCCACCTAGTCCAACTCCCTTGCAGTGAACAGGGACACCACAGCTAGATCAGGTTGCCCAAGGCCTGATCCAGCCTCACCTTGAAAGTTTCCAGGGACAGGGCATCCACCACATCTCTGGGCAAACTGTTCCACTGCCTCACCACCCTCACTGTAGAGTTTTTTTTTCCTTCAATCTAACGTACATCTACCCTCTTTGAGCTTGAAGCCATTTGCCCTTGTTCTGTCACCACAGACCCTGATAAAGAATCTGTCTTCTTTCCTGTAGCTCTAGATACTGGAAGGCTGCTCTCAGGTCATGTTGGAACCTTCTCTTCTCCATGCTGAACAGCCCCAGTTCTCTCAGCCTGTTCCCATACAAAACCTGTAAGAACTGCTGAGTTACAGAATCCAGAAGTTTTGACAGATCTACTGACATCAGTGAAGCCAGGGCTCATGAGTATCTAGCAATAGGATTTTTTTTTTTTTTGGCATGTTGGATTCAGTGTTGTATTTTACAACCAGCAACCTTTTGTTTTCAGGCCCAGTCACAAAATTAAGAGCAGTCACATCTTTCTACTTACTTCCTCAGCAGCAAACTTCAAGACAGCTGTGAAAGGTGTACTTTCGGGCACGCTTAGCCTGAAAAGAGAGTTTAAACGTTGGGTGCGTGACTGCTAACATAAAACAATATCAAGCGACTTTACGAGCAGCAACCCTCCTGCCAAAGACGTGTACGTACAGGATGAGGTAGAACAGAGACACACATGCCATTCATCTTCCACGATAAAATAAAAGCAAAAGAATGCCAAGGGAACCCCGCAGGGCTCAAGGCCCCACCTCACGCAGTACAACCCCGCACTCACACTTTGTAGGGCAGCCGCGGGTCGGAGGTGAGCGTGACTTTAAAGGTGACCTTCGACCTGGGAAGAGCGAGAAGAAAGCGGGGGGTTAGAGGCGGTGTGAGGACCCGACGTGGAGCAGCAGGGCCAGGATCGCACCCGCTCACTCACATACTGCAGCCGCCACCGCCACCGCCGCCCGCCGACACGTCAGCCTCCCGGCGGCCCTCGCCACTTCTCCCGCTCGCAGGGCTGCCCGCGGCGCGCCTGATGGAAAGCTACAAGTACAAAAACGCCCTGCGGGCCGCTGAGGGACAGCGAGTGGGGCGCTCGGTCTCTGTGCTTCGCCGACCCCGAGAAGGGAGGAGTTGAGGGTGGGTGAGGGGAATTGCGGAGGGGTGCGGGGATTTCTAGCGAGGCGGCAGCGGCGGCCGTTCTGTAGCGTGGGTTGGTCTCTGACGCTGGCAGCGCGGCGTTGCACCGGGCGGGACGTGAGGGGAAGGCGGGCGGGGTTGGAGGTAGGTGCTGCGCCGTTTGTATAAATGCGGGTGTGTGGGCGCGTACTCAGAATCCTTCACGTTTTCCTGAGAGTCGTAGAATCGTAAAGGTTAGAAGAGACCTCTGAGATCACCTGGTCCAAGTGTAAGCACGTCACCGCCGTGCCCACTAACCCGGCTGTCGCTGCCACGTCTGTGCAGTTCCTGAACGCCTCCACGGTCTGCGGCCCATCCATAGGCAGCCTGTGCCATGCCTCACCAGCCTTACTGTAAAAAGTTTTTTTCTTATGCCCAATCTAAAACTAATTTGAAACCATATCCCCTTGACTTAGCAGACCCTGCTAAAAGGTTTGCTCCCTTTCTTCTTACAGCCGCTTTTTAGATACTGAAATGCTATTCTGTGATCTCCACGGAGCCCTCTCTAGGCTGAACAGCCCCGGCCCACTCAGCCTGTCCTCGTAGGAGAGGTGTTCCATCCCTTGCATCATTTCTGTGACCCTTCTCTGGACACATTCCAACTGGTCCACATCTCTGCTATCCAGAGGACTCATATCGGGATGCAGTACTCCAGGAGAGGTCTCACCAGTGCAGAGCAGAGGGGCAGGATCACCTCCCTCACTGCTGACTGCACTTCTTTTGATGCAGCCCAGGATACGGTTGGCTGGCACATTGCTGGCTCACGTCCAGCTTTCCATCCACCAGTAGCCCAGGTCCTTTTAGGCAGGGTTATGTCCTGTGTTCAGGATTTTGTTAAAGCTTGTACAGCTGGCCTCAGCCCCATTGATTGAGCCTGTCAAGATCCCTCTGCAGGGTTTTCCTACCCCCAGGTAGTTCAACACTTTCTCCAAACTTGGTGTCATCTGCAAACTTACTTAGAGTGCACTAAATTTTCTCATCCAGATCATCAATAAAGCACAGTCCGAGGTCATCATTACCACACACTTGTATGCCAGACTTGTCAAGGCAAAACACTTTGTTGTGTTCAGAATGGGGTCTCATTAGGATCAAGGTAAGAGAAAAGCTGTGCAAAGAAGGAGTCAGTGTGTTGGCATCACTAATCTCTTACCTGTGGACTGGCTCAGTCCTCAGCTAAGAAAATTCATCTTTTCACAGTTGCACTGCTTCTGAAAACAAGCAAGCAAATAAATAAAAGCTTATGCAATGACATTAATATTTCTCTGTGTTTCATGCATTTAACTTTATGTTACTGTATCTGTCTTCCACAACAATGTCACACTTGTGGCTTTTGCTTATTTTCTCATCTGTTAATGATCATTTTGCTTTTCATTGCCCTGTTTCTAAGAAATCACACCATAAGTTGGAGATAATCAAGTCTACTTTGAGCATGTAACCTTTTGTGTAGGAAAGTGTCATCCTGTATTTTTTCCAGCCCTCTTCAGATTCAGGTCATTATTATCTTATGATGTCGTGGTTTCAATTTATACAACTGTGCCATCTGCCGCTTTCATTAATGCATCACTGTTTCCCATACCAAGGTCATTAATACAGATGTGAAATGAGAGAACCATTCATCTAGAATTTCATTTCTTGCCTTTCCACTGTAAGGACTTTCCTTCTGGTGAAAGAAATACACCCAAATCTTCATGCTGTTGACTGCTTTTAGTGCCCACATTTATTTGGTTGATTTGAGTACACATGTACCATATGTCATTACTTATGACCTGATAAAGAGTCAGTTCAGGAAAGTGATTAGGAAAATGAGTGAATGAATGAATGAATAAATAAATAAAATTTAGGCAAATTTCATCTGGTTTTCTTTCTGAATCAGCACAAAGAAGGATGTGAGGAAGCACACCTGGTTTGTAGTGTTATTGTGTTCCACCTTAAGCCAGGTTTAGATGCTATGGAGGTGTATCCTGTGCAGGAGTGCTTGTAGGTAATTTCAGAGTCAGTGTCTTTAAAAGTAGTATCAGAAATCCAAATGCTTTTATAAAAACAAGACCTCTTTGGTGCTGGAAATTTGTAATTGTATGGGGGAAATTTGTACTTTGCTACCTAAACCTTATTAGAAATATATCAGGATTGGTTGTTTTTTTTTTTTTTCTGAGAATTTACAATGAATAAAGAAAGCATGTATGTGACTTTTTCAGCTAGGAGAATTAATGAACCTTGATGTCCTATCTGAAACTAGCCAAGGATGGGTTGCAGGTGGCCATTTCAGTAATGGGCTTATATACACAAGAATATTCTCCTCAACTCAAGAAAAAGAAATCCATTCCCAATGAAGTCCTCCCTCCTTTACTACATGACTGAAACAAGAAAAGAAGCTGGAATTTTTTGTTCAATTTATTTTCCCTACAGCACTGATTTAGTGTGTGCCTAAAGCCATGTATTTTGTGATTGCAGTGAGGTATAGCTTTTGTTTTTGCAGCTGTGTAGACTGCAACAATTTGAATAATTAAAACCATTGGGGTTTTGACAATTTGCGATCACGTTACTATAATAGAATGCATTTAAGACAGGAAAATGTGAAAAAAGCCCCCCAAAATGACAAAATATATGTCCCTCTGAATACTGAGATGAGGCTGAGGTGAATTAAAATGTCTTTATATGGCACTTTAGATAAATCCTTCTAGTTGATAACAGCGTTGCAAGAGAGATAAGTAGTGCAGTGCAGAGAACTGTTCATCTCACATGCCTGCAAGGGGCAGATAGTCACCTGGCTGGGCCTCCGTTAGTGGTGTGAAAGTGGCACTGAGGAGAACAATAAAAAGGAATTGGAATTTAAATGAACAGAAATTTACCTTACCAGGATCTGTTGACCAATATTTAACTGCCGGAGCAAGATAGTGTTTCTTGTCCTATCAGAGGGTAAAATTATCATAGAAGGGGCAACTATTGAAATGTACAGAGCATGTAAAATTATAAGGAAGTGGAGAGAGGTGTCCATTTCTCAAGAAGTTACATCCTATACCACGGTTGTTTATTATATACTTGTAGTCTGAATCCAACTTCCTTATGAACATTTTTTGAGTTGCCATAATTAATTACCATGATTATTTTACTAATTATTTTACTTATTTATATATTTCTGAAAAAAAAAAAAATACTCTTTGATAGTATTTGCTACTTACTTTCAGTGGAGTTAAGGACACTGTAGAGTAAATATGCCAGAAAGCCTTTTTTTGAAGAAATGGTATTTAGCTTCCTTTTTCCTTCTGCTTCCCATTTTGTCTTATTACAGTCCCTGTTGGCTACAATATATTGGTAGGTATTCAGTTAGAGCAGCTTTGAGGCACAGAACTTGGGTTCATAATTTCCTGCTCATCTTGCAAACAAATAAATGTGGCCACAGCTCAGAGTTTGACCATAAAAATTAAGCTGCCTTGTTTGTGTTTTTGGAAAGACATCTCCCTTTTTTCTGCTGTGTCTTAAAATCTTTTATCTTTCATGTGTATTTATAAGATTTATGAGGTGCACCTGCCATGTGAAGAACATCAGTTTCTGTGCTACAAAACAAGTGTCTGTGAATAGGAAGATTACCACAAAACCTACTATTGTAAGGACTCTATGGAAATATCAAATCTGAAGTTTTAAAAAGTGTAATAAAACCTCTCACATGCAAAATATGCTTTTTGCTTTGTCAGTCCCTGACTGGGTAAGGCACTTAGTGTTTCCAAGAATCTTTGCTTAAAAAGCAGTGGATTAAGCCTTTAAGTAGGTACAGACAATTAAATCTTGGCACTCAGAAAAATTTCCTTCCATGCCCCAATCTTTTTCTCCCCACTTCTACCTCAGTCTTTGTTCTTGGCCTCCTGCCTGCCTGGTGCTCTTTGCTCATGCTTTGTTGCTTGCTGGAGCCTCCTGTGAAGCAATGCAAAGCAGCAGAAGTCATAAATGTGTCCCTGTGGGCTCAGAACATTGAATCATCTCAGACAGAGATCTGAGCTGACACAGCAGAGGAGGAAGAGAGATCTGTCTTTGTCTTTTGTCACAGGGAAGCTTGGGATAACAATTCCCCTTGATAACTGTTTCCTATAACCAGAGCTCTGGGCTGGGATCCCGCTCTGCTTCCCTTTGTTCTGCCCTTCCCAGTACGTTGATACACATCCTCAGCTGTGTGTTCCTATACTGGCAGGGAAACCAGCTTTCTTTCTCAGGTAGATTCTGGTTACAATATGAGTTAGCATGCTTACAAAAATCTGAACCAGCAGAGGTGACTCTCTGACATTGCTGCCACTTCTGAAATGCACCACCTGCTGCCAACTGTGCTTACATCCCCTCTTTGGTCTCCATGAAATTCGGCAAGATTCAGTTAGTGTCAGTGGGTGCAATTTTTTATTTTATTTCTTTTTGCATGGAGGAATTCAGTTCCACACCTTTTCTTCATGCGCACTTCCATGTCAATTGCCATTTTGTCAGATCACCCCTCTGCTGCCATCTGTCAGACAACAACAAAATGTGATGTAGTATTGCTGGAAAGGCTGAACCTCTACTGCCATACCACCAACATTCATCTCTGATGACCTTGGCCAACATAATGAAATAGAGGCATAATTT